ACTAAACGATGCATATTCATATTCCCCTTATTATAAGCTCTATTTTGACCTATGAACTATGATTATGCGTTTTACCATTCTTGAATTATGTCCTGTCTATTAGTCACTGCCTCCCACATTCACGGCCACATTTGGCCAAATTTTGTGCAAATGTTATTTTTTATTTTATGCTACTTTGTGGTCTATTTGATTGGCATATAAACCGAGTTTGTTTGAAATATAATGATTCATATTGCAGGGGCTGAGACTGGTGTTTTGGACTTACCTGGTTGGGCTAGACGGAAAGCTAGACAGAAAGGACCAGTCAAGACTTTAGGCTTCTCGCACATGTTTTACACGTCCTCGCTGCTTCTAATTGGCGGCTTTAGGCTATACCAATGCATAAGCTATTTATCCATAAACACAGTTACCTTTATACAAACACTGACTAAAATTTCATACCATTATTATAGAGATGGGTTGGGAGTTGAACTCCTCTTGGTTATAACCTATGCTCTCATAGTTTGCACACACTTTATCAATGTACGAACACTTACTTAACTGAAGATATCGCACAGCACATTACCTGTAAGGTTACTATATTAGGTATGTTGATTTCACATACCTTAGTTTGACTTCCAGTCAAACACTGAAAGAGACGATAATTTTCGCTTGGACTGAGGAAGCAGAACGTAGTTGTTCTTGGTAAATAGGTTGATGGAACCGACGTTCCTACGGAAGTCGATTCTAGGAGGAAGCTAATGTACCAGCTTAGGCTGATTAATTAAGAGTTGAAGTCAAACAACATAGTTAATGTCAAAACAATAGAGATTAAGTAATAATTTACATCCTTATTTCGTATAAGCGTTATATTTCCTACTATCCTTATTGAATATTGAAAAGCTTTGTGCGTTTGAATAGGTAACCTCCCGCTCCACTGTGACTGTCCCACGATCAAAATAACAACCTACCCACTACTAGCCTGGTTCCGTCTATCAATAGAACAAAGAGTACCTTTAAGTACAAAAGACCTGTACAATGGATTTCACGGTTCTTTAATCATTTGTTACCTTTTAATTGACTTGCTTTCTACAACATATTGAAACACAATTCCATAGCAATTGGTCTGGTGGAGGAAAATATGTCTAAATATCATACTACAATTTTTGTATCACTAACGACACAACAGCTTTTTGTCAATTTCCCATTCCCTTTCTTCAAATGTCTAAATATCATACTACAATTTTTGTATCACTAACGACACAACAGCTTTTTGTCAATTTCCCACTCCCTTTCTTCAACGGTATTGTCATGACACCATCCGAAAATATGTGTAGCCACCGAAGTTCAAGTATTTGTACTGAATTCAGAGCCAAAAGCCAAAGCTTTTTATTAAACCGTTCTACTTTCTTTATAATAGCGTATAAAGAGTTTTTAAGTGACTCGTAATGGATTACGTAATAGCACAAACTCTGTGAGCAACCTAGGTATTTTTAATTTAAAAAATCAAACGAATTGTACCGACAGTTCAAAATGCCTCAAACGATGCAGCCCGTGTTAAGCAGTCTAACGTTTCTTTAGCACGCATTAATAATGTGCCAAACAGTAAAAGAATGTCTGTGGTGGTTCAAAATTATATTACCTCAAAAATAATAGTTAAGTCATTGCGTCCAAAAGTTAATGTAATAATATATTAACTAACATACATAGACACAAGAAAAATTTACTGAACGTTGCCTAGATTACCAGGATTTGGCATGCTCGAGTTGCATTTGGTATAATGAGCCACAATTATAGTCAATTAATAATTCCAATATAAATTGTCTTAATTCTAGGAGTATATCCAGATTAAGTATGTTGTAGATCACCAACGTAGATGATCTATGTCGAGATGATTGGAGGCCTACTCGAGTTAGACGTGAATGGTGTGATGAACCAACTAACGTCGAAGTCACACCTCGTGGTCAGCACCTTACGTAGACTACCCCCATTGACGTATCAAGGTACTATAGATGCTTTGAAGACTGTATAACACAAAGGACGTCATTACGGAAATATATTAGTTAAAGTAGATACAAGCGAAGGTAAGACCACTGCCGCATGGGCCAGTCCATGGCATACGACTAACTAATGCGCGTTGGTTGTATATGACCTTGGCAGGGAGCGATGATCTGTTCGACATTCAGTTATCCAACTGCCGGATGATTTGGCTAGGGCTCAGTGACATTTCATTGACCCTACAATGTATTAGAAATATAGCTGTGGTCTGTGAATGCAAATAATAAATATTTCAGAGTCCAGTAATCTTAACAACATGCAATTGAGAACGAGAGACATGTGTGCGTAGTAGTGTATTCATGAGCGGTTATTGGTGCGTCGTGCTATGAGGAATACACATTGGAAGAGGAACTGTTCAAAATCATGCAATGTTAAGCAACTTTTGTAGTAAATGTACTAATTCTGAGAATTAACAAAAGAAATGCAAATAGTACTAAAAATTAATTATAAAATAAGTTCGTCGTGACTATCTACAAAAGTTTGTTAAATTAGTGTTCAGGAACTGAGGGCAAATCTGGATTTTTCCAGCAAAATGGGGTCAACTGCTTATCAGGATGGAGTAATCGTTAACATCGGGCTATCAGAGATCAGCAATCATCAGCTAGGCCAGGCCGTAACCCTAACTTAAAACAAACATGACCGCAGTGTCAATGGTTCGGCAAGATGTAACAGCAAAACTAAGTTATAAAGGTGTGTCAGAACCAAAGTTAAGTAATTAAAGTCCAGACCATAAAGACTGAAGAACATAAAACCTAGTTAAAAGGGACTTCAGTAAAAGTCAAAATACAAGACAGTAAAGGAGGACTAGAAAATATCTATTCTGTCCAACAAATCACTCTACAGGGATTTTCAGCGTGCTGTTCATGCCACACCGAACACCAAAATGTACATTCAACCACAGCTCTTCTAGGTAACTAGCCCATGAGATTGGGATGTGCAATACTTACAACAAGACTTCTGAACACCGATAAACCTAACCTACAATCTGTGGCTATCCTGCTCCCTCCATATGACAAAGCCTTCTCAAATCTCTTCTTACAGAAAACTCTTTCATACGTACCATGGCTGTTCTTATTAGACCATCATTATTTTTCTCATATGTACCAACCGGTCCTGCTGGCCATGTTTAGCCAGTAGTTAAGTCCTTAGCCACAAGCACTGCCTCACTTTTCCTTGACTTATTATGTTTAAGAAGTAATGTACGTTCCATTTACAGTAACGGGACATAATTTCTCATTCACAAACACCATGGCGTATTGGCTAGGCAGTCCACCTATCTTCGCCGTTTTGAATACCTATCCGCAGTAATTCACTCCATCCATATAGCATCTCAACCTCTTATCAGCGCAGGTTGTTAGATGTGAAAGCTTAGTCATCTCTCCCACCCAAAAGTAGGTTATCAAGCTATCACTATGCAATGCGTTTTCGTTAGAAACGACTAGTAGGATACTACAAACAAAAAGTATCAATCTTCCATAAATCCTGTCTCTTTGACTAGCTAGTGGGAAGTTGAAATGCCATCATGTCATTCATCCTATATTTGTCCCATAAACTCATAGTGTTTCATAATTCCAAAGTTGTTTCAACAAAGTTTGTTCTACTGTCATTAAAGACTTCTTTTAAAGTCCCTCTCGTTACTATAAAACGTATTAAAACAATTATTAAAGCGTCGCCACTCATCTGAAAACTACTTTCAGGTGTGCGGGATACGTAAAGATACGTAAGTGTTCACTCACACTTTTCCATCAGTTTTTCCTCGACGAAATGTTAGCGGTGATTCTCACAGAGGAGAAACAGAACAAATCTTCCCGTGCCCGACACTCATAAAATGACCACATCACCTCCTGACCCAATGTGACTTTCATAAGTATACACTTCATGCATTCACTTATCACCTGTCTAACTGCACTGTTTACTTCAACAATCCGATGATTTCTGCATATAGTAGCTAACACTTGCTCTAAACTTTGCTCTCATGTCTAATATGTTGTATGTCATCACCGTACCATCTTGTCTTGTTCTATAACTCACTGAAAACTGTATCGAATGTTGGAGTTTTTTCGTAGGATTTGTCTTTCTCACCTATCATCAACTTGTTTTTTCATCTATGTACTCGGCCTAATAGAGTTATAACTTATAATAAGGAGAGATACAACAACAATGTGGACTTTGATTTGGTGTCGTGGGTACTTTTACAGAGTCAGGAACATCTATGTAGTGAATGCGTCAAGTTGTCCATGCATAAGTTGAGGAGTTTCGTTTACTTTGGCTGGATCCCTCATGCATCTGAGATAGTGCTCAAGCTCTCTGTGTTTACTATACTGAGGTTACTCACACTAAGAAATCCCCCATTCGGAATGCTCTCCTGGCCGAAGTGACCACAGCCTCCTTAGTGGACAGCTTTGAGGGAAGACTTGAGAAGCACATACTCAACCATCATCTACCATCTTCTTCTTCTTCGACCGGGTGTTTCTGATCAACGTCTCGTAACTTATCATTATAACTATCATCACACTCCAGTAACTACTTCCTATCTCGCTTATTATCAACTTCATTTCAACTATTATACTTTCCATTCCATCTTCGTACACATTACCAATAAATTATTTCATTTGTTATGCTTGAAATAACCGTTCTATGTCAGCACCCAAATTATCACTTAACTATAGTCTCATTAAACCGATCGACCTACTATCTGCTGGATTCCCGAAATCCTTGTGCCCTAAGCCAAATTCAACCAAACTACAAATCCACAAATAACAACCAAACTGACTAAAGTTTGTCCAGTCGAGAGGATAGACTACCGTCTATTCGACACCATCAAATACTCGAATGCAAACCGAAACAGCAAGAAAAACGCTCAAAATTCAATTAGTTCATACAAGCTCTTGAGGAAGATATTGATTATTGGAATTAGGTTTAGCGCTTAACTAAAGTTATCATGCGATTCCGTTCTTAGAGAAATGAAATACTTACCTGAAAGAGTTATTTTGTCTCTGGTTTTGTGTCTTGGAACAATCAACATGCTGGCTCAAAGAGTAAATTTAAGCATCGCAATCTTATGCATGACAGGTCGCTGCACTATACGTGATAACAACAGTACAAGTAATAAATATCCTATTCGAGTTGTTCAGAATTCATCTGGTTGTAGTATAGAATCATTCAATGAAACAAAGGTATTAGAATATTTATTCAGTTTACATTCGTTTGAACAGGAAGCCTTCACAGATCCTATATTTTATGATGGAGTAGGATTCAGCATGTTTTTCTTACACTCGAGTGTAAGAACGATCGTTTACTGATAAAAAGGAATTATTGTAGATCCAACGACGCTGGTCTAATCACTTTATAAACAGTAGCTAGGAAGCCTACAATAACCCAAGAGATCAATTACTTCTGACTTAAATCCCCGAGCTCCCAACTTGGGGAAATTTGACCCATTTTGAGGAAGCCGCTATGGTAAACTTTGGGGAAGTGGCACTAAAACCCCAAAATTCCCCTTTAGCCCTGGTCAGGGTCATTTGGCTTTTGGGGATTTCCCCGAAATTTCCCCAAACGTGGGAGCTCTGGTCATCTTATGAACAATAAGCGTTTTAGTCAGGAGCCCTATGATATTAACAGTTAGTAGTATATACTGTTATTCGGAGTCAGTGGATTATTCAGTGTTTAACTCAGAATTCAGACATTCTGTCATCCTTAATTTGTTTATTAGTCTTACAACTTGATATTACATCACTTGAATCCCCCACCCTTCTCTTTCCATCCTATTTAAAGTTGAAACCCTGAATGAGTGCCCTTTATACAAAATTCTACGTGGCTACGTTTGCTTTTAGAAAAGCTTTATGTATCAGTATCATGTGCGATACTGTATCATAACGGTGGTTGGGAATGTCTTGTAAAGAATTACGTTCCTAAACCGTCGAGGTTTTTCACAAACCTTCGTACTACTATACTTTATTTAACTAAAATCGGCAAATTACTCCAACGTCCACACTGTTTTGTGACACTGAGTAAGTGAGAGTTGACATGTAAGTAAAAAAAACGAAGTAGTTTATACAACATTGTCTGCGAATGCCAACAGTCGAAATGGATAATTGAGTTTGATGCCTAATATTGTTAAGGTTCTAGTGGAATGCATGGAAAAAAGACCATCACTCCAAATTGCATCCTTTTAAGTTACCATACATAAAAATGTTGTGAGGAGAGCCATGAGATAAGACATTAGTGGAAGAAGAATAATCGAAGATAGTGGTGATTATCCTAACTTTTACTAAGAGTCTACGTAGTTATTATAGTATAACTGGTTTTGAACAACCACTGTTCCATGTAAATTTTTTTTGGCAATAATATTCACAAAGATACACATGTTAGTATTTTAAGTATCTTCAATAAAATGTATGGACGTGTTTTAAGCCTTTAAATTTTACTCACTTTGCAGCGTAGTGGTTCTGATCTCGAAAATATACTTTGCCAAATACATCGTAGTTTTAGGTCTTATTTATTTATTTTAACAGATAGATATTGGTACAAGGAGGCACCAAGTACATATGCGCCACACAGATCTCATTTGATATATGTGAATGCTGTGATACTGCCCGGGTTCCCAAACCGAAGCTGGTGGTTTTCTTAACGGACCACACCCGAAGCCTTCGACCTGAAGGTCTGATCCACAAGGTAGTGGAACATTGTAAGGAGATGCAGTCCCATGGTAGCCGGTGACCAACGATTGGTTCATACGCCATTTGTTTCCTCAGCATACTGGAGCCCATGTGCATCATGGGTTTGGAATGAGGGTTTTCTAACTCCCCTAGGTGGACTCTCCATGTCTACCGACCCGGTTCAAGCGCCGGACATTCGCTTTTCGTCCTCTCAATTTCGTAAACAACACCCCGGCCACGAGAAGGCAATGAGTAGGACTTTCCAGGTAGAGACTTTATACTCATGGGCATGTGAGAGCATTTCGAGAGGGAGAGAGACTGGACTCTCCCCACTCTCGGCCGTACCATGGAATTTGGGGGCTTTATAAAATCTACTGAAAATGGCAATAAATGTGCTGTTACTAGCAAATTTGCTTCTGTCTTACAATAGCTACAAGTCCAGTTTCAGATTACGTGCACAGTTGATCGCTGAAATGCTCTGGAAATAGTATATAAAATAATTAAGAAAAAAGTTTGCTCAAGCTATCTTAACAGTTCTACTAAATTTAAAGTGAAATTACAAAAATTGGTTTGTTTTTCACAGGAGGTGGATTATTGGGTTAAATGTACACCCTCAATGCGCGCCTGCATATCGTTGACAGTTTTCTTTAGAGATTACACTACCAAATAATTCAATGCATCACGTAGAACTCAAAATGCAAAGTTATTGTTAGTACTGCTACAGTTTTCTATTGGTTCTTCTACAAACTTGGAAGCCCTTTCATCCAAACATTTTTCATTTCAGGCAGCAAACGTTTCTGTGCTAATGTTATGCCGTTTTGTATTTAATATTTAGAAACTAATGCCATATCAATTTAGTAAGTTTTGTGGAATTTTTCCACCATCAAGTTGCTATCCTGTATTTCTTCTTGTTTTATCCTTGATTTACAATGATCAACGCAAAATTTGAGGTGATTGATTATTTTTCTCACTATTCTAAAATTTTAGACTGTGATAGATGGCCCGTTTGACTGGGATCGCTCAAATTGGGGAGTTCTTCTGGGAGTTATTTTCTGGGGTTATTTTCTTGGGCAGATACCTGCAGGCATCCTTATTCAAAAGTTCAGCGTTCGCTCAGTCCTACTTACATCCCTAATTCTTATGAGCACATCAACAATACTTGTTCCAGTGGTAGCGATAAGGTCTCTGTATTTATTTTGTGCCGTACGAGTACTTACAGGATTAACATCCGTAGGTCTTACTATGCCTATTTCTTTAAATCTCTGATACTTTTGATTGGAAACATCAGCTATAAGATTTGTATTAAGATTCTAGGTTGAAATTTTATTATTGGGTTTTAACCAGTTTCATCTACTCCAATGTGAGAATCCAAGTAGTATCTGTAATCTCAGTAGATGTGATCCAAAAATAAATAAACAATGATTATTCGCTCACATGAAGCTGATGAAATTCTATTACTTTGTAATAGGAGGTAAACGGCCAAGCTGAAATTTAAAAAGACCCTCACTAGTGAGATAATGTCGTAGTTGCATTACATCATGAGTCGACTGAGTGTTACGATGCTAATCATGAGATATGAAGGCCCTGTGGCTGTTTCGCCGTAGTGCAGTTGATGGGCTCTACTGATTAGTCTTAAATTAATATAATATGGAATGGTCGTTATTTCGTTTAAAAGGCTTTCACTTCAACTGATAGATTGTGGGTTTGAAGTGTTCTCCGAATACTCAGGTTTCTGCTGTTTAGTAATATAATTAGCTCTCATATAAGAAGTGTGATGCAACCTCTAGTATTAAATTCACTTGGTATTGGTTGCTTGAATCTTCCCATTGTTGTTTAGGACTACAATTCATCAGTATCTTATTGGCGTATGTGCGTATTGCGAGTATTAGCTCGATATTGCCTTAACTCACAAGCATTCTAAACAATTATGGATAGTGGCTGGTAGTAGAATCCACGACGCGCGTATCGTCCTATTCGGGAGTCGTCAGCCGGATGTACCTGCATCTCAGACTTGATGTTCATTCTGGAATTCGAACCCAGTACCGTTTGCCTCAAACGCCATCACATTATCCACTTAGCTACTGAGTCCTGATAGCCACTTGTTTGTGCAATGGGGTGAAGTTTATAGTCACTTGGTACAGGTTGCTTGATCAGTCTCTTATAGGACGAAATGGGCTTCCTGGATTCCACTGATAGCCATTATCCATCTTTGCTTAGAACCCCTAGTATTGTTGTGATGTGCGGTGTTCCGAAATCTCACTTGACACATGGTATGCTACGCGCCAACTCCCAATTGACCACTTGAATGAGAAAGTGTATTGGACTACCGAATAAAATGCACAAAACCCAGCCATATATATACCAGTCTATCCTTAGGAATTTGACGGTAATGAAATGCACTTGACCTTTAGGTCACATCCGTTTGCCATTGATTGACATTTTGCTACTTCTGATTGGCTCTCCATATCAAGTATCCCTACTTGTGCCACATTACTGGGTTACACTGCATTATCATTGGGCTGAATCAGATCAAAATTCCATGGTTATGTGATTTACAGTCATTCTTAAACCAGTTACAAAAATTACCTCCATGAAAAGTACGAATTTATAAAAACGAGAACAATCACGATTTAAGCTAACGCGTTTCCAAAAACAACAGCTTTGGTTTTAATAAAAGCTCACTAGGCGATGACTCGATGTTTAAACTGTCCGGCTTTCATGTGTTGTGTCGTGAATTTGTACCTTCCCCTCCACCTACTTCGCTTTTAGCAGTTGAGTAGTAGCACAAGATATGGCATATCGTCTGACCCGAGGTCGGATAAATGAATCCTCAGTGAGGATATTACACTGGATAAAACAATAAAGATGTTCTGATTTATTGGTTTCGTCATCTTTCACAATGTTTATGGGGCAATAAAATATTTAACCACAAAATATAATGGACTGATATAATGATACCAGACATACTACACCGATCAACACGAATGGTCATTAAGTAACTACTAACATCACAAATAAAATAATATATTTGTAATATCCTAATGAATATGAAAATTGGATTTTCTGACGCTTCGTGACTCATCTAACTTTCCTACTCATTGGGATATTCAAATATATTATTTTATTTATAATCTTCCCAATGCTCAATTTATTCGAAATTGTCAAGTCAAATCTTAGTATTGACACCTACTGACATCACAATCTCTCAGTTCTTAATCAGCCATAGGAATAATAGATGATATAACCTGTAACTGTGAAGAACTGTTGTTTTAAGGATATGACTTTACATGTTTTTGTGTTTAAGAAACCCAGAATTGGACGAGAAAGGCAATTAAAATTTATTCTGACTGGTCCAGCGTGTGGAATAGATTGAAATATGAACTAGCGAAACTTTTATTTCATCGACTACCAGGTTGAATTGTTGATATCTAGTTAAACTATCTTTTGCTAGTTTAAAATAAGTATGGAAAAATTATCCATGCTTCATCCCTGTTCTGTTGAAGTGACGATATCATTTCGTTAGTTTTTTAATGACCAGTGTTTGGAACTTGTTATTCACTAGTTATATTTTTAAACATAAGTTATTTATTGGTGTTTTAGGCAAGTTGGTTTCCTGGATTCTATCAACTTTGGGCTGCTTGGGCACCTCCAAATGAGCGTGGACTCTTAATTGGATTTGCTTATGCAGGTAGCATCCGTAATAAACTTCCTGTTTGATTTTGTTTTATTGTCTTTAGTCTATGGTTCCAAACATTTAGATTTGGAATTTCATCAGTTACTGTATATATGTATAAGCTTTATATAACCATGTATTCACTTCAGTTAAAACGTTTATCATAAAGGTTTTTTTTACATTATATCTCTTAGTAATGTACCAAAGAGATTTTAGTCTTGTCCCGTACTACAGATTTATAATTTCATTATTGGAATCAGTCTGACTATATTGTTTTACATTGAATATTATGATAGGACTTCATGTAGGTAGTGCTATTACAATGCCTATTACTGGTGCTTTGTGTCAGACATCATTGGGATGGTCACTAGTTTTCTACTTCTATGGTGAGTCAATCATTTTTGTACAAATTAAATTTGAGATGCTACTAATTAACAAAATACGCATTTACATTTTAAATATCACGCCACACTTATCACTTGATGGATCATAGTACTAATTGAATGGTGAAGTCAAATTACGTAAACTTGTCTTTTAACATATGATCGAATAGTTAAAAACACAATTATAAAACTAAAGAACCACATTTACACTATCATCAATAGGAAATTAAGAGCTTACTTAGGAATGACTCTGTTAGCTATGGATCCCAGTTAAACATTTTGAATATTGAGGGTATTATGTTATTTGTCCAGTAATTCGATGCAAAGAGATTATTTATTTGCATATTAATATACGTTTCCATTCTACTTAAAACTGCAGCTTGACGATTTAATAAATATCATTTTTTTCAAATTTGAAATCAGGATAATTTCAATCTTAAACTTGTGAAATATTGGGAGAAAGCTTTTAAACTGACAACACTTAATTTAGTAAATACGTAGAAATTTTTAATAGTGCAAAAAAATTCCTAAATATGAATTTGACTATACCCTTAATTGAAAACAAGCACTTATTTACATCTCAATATCGAAATGTGATTCGATGATTTAAGTTTTATGATTCTATTTCCTTGATGTCTTTATCTCTTCAGAAATTTAAACTACCTCTTAGTATTATTAGTTTTGAAATGATAATTGTGCTTCAACACTTAACGAATGAAATTTTTATTATTTATTTGTTTGAACACATAAATATTGGTACAAGAGGGCACCAAATATATATGCGCCACACCATATTTGTGTGTGTGGGCTGTGATACTGCCCGGGTGCCCAAACCGAAGCAGGTGGTTTTCTTAGGGGCCACACCCCGAGCCTTTGACCTAAAGGTCTGATCCACAAGGCAGTGGAGCATCGTGAGGAGATGCAGTCCCATTTTAGCCGGTGACCAACGATTGGTTCACACGCCGTTTGTTCCTTCAGGATACTGGAGCCCATGTGTACCATTGGTTTGGATCCGGTTAAAGCGCCGGACATTCGCTTTTCGTCGGATGAACTCGTACATAATTGCTAAAATTAAGTTTTACTTACTAATTTAAATATCTCTATAATTCTACCTTTGTGCACTCTCTCACTGTTGATGTTCTTTTTGTGGTCATATCCTAAGTAATTCTGTTCATATCTGCCTTTAATGCTTGTTGTTACTAGAGTATCCCAAGCCACTTGTGAACACATAGCTCTCCTTCATCTTACTACGGCTAATTCCATACCATAACGATGAATCATTATACAGGAACAATAGAAGTTGGATACTGCAGTAGGGCAAACAACATACTAAAGGTTATTGTTCGTGTGATAATTATTATGCTCAAGCATAAAGGTTTATCTGTTTTCCGAATAAATGAGTTATGCTTATCTGACTAAGATGGACAATCAAACGCACTTAATTCGCTGTGGGAACATCGGTTTCTTAAGTGATGAGGGGCGCAAAATACACTTGGTAGGTGGTTGAAGGCATTTGACAGAAAGCCCTGAACATACGTTTTGTACTAGCTGAAATTGTTCAGCGATATGTATCCGTAATCATGAGATTTATGTCATTCTTCGGATATGAATCCTCGTCACCCACGTTTGCAACCAAAGACTTTGCTACTGAGCCACTCAAGGCGTGAGCAACTTCGTACAAAACTGAGATATCTATATTGATAACTACTGAATAGTAACCGATGTTGTGTTTGTCCAGTTCTTAATACTGATCAAGTTCTATGGATTACGTTGCAAGCGATTCCAAGTCACCTAGACATGTAGCCACACTGAAAGTCGTAGACATACACTTAGTTGACGAGAATTAAGACACACGGAGTCTGGGTCGACAGACTACTTCCCAATCTCCTTCGAATATCCAACATCAAATATAAATTTATTTGATCAGTTGATCTAGCAACAAACTGGTGCTTTTAAACATTCATATGTTTGCCTATTTTTAAACTTTCTTATAACATAAAAGGTGCAGTCAGCTTTGTTTATTGTATGATATGGTTCATGTTTGTATATGATGAACCTAAATTAAATCCAAGAATATCTATGAAAGAAAAGACTTATTTAGAATCAACCTGCCCAGTTATAATGAAAAACAGCCAAGGAAAGGTAAGTAGCGTATTGTAAATTGAATCGAATTAAAAATCAGTTAATTTACATAATATTGTCATGCTTAAATTAAAAACCACTTACGGTCAATAATGTAATGGAACCCACTTAGTTTAACTTGCTGAGACATTGATTTCATTAGGAATGATGGAAGAACAAACGATGAATTTACCATGAATATAGATCCTACGTTTGGTTTTGTATATTTTACTTAAGCTTGGGAGACGGCTGTAATAAAAGCCAAATACCAATTAAATAAGACGAATTTACTCGTTTACTCAGATGGACAGTAAGGTGAGAAGCGGTGAGTCTGAACATGCCAACTCCAAATATCATCAGTTGCAGGTGTCAGTATACTTCAAAATACATAGTGCGTAGTGCATCGAGACGGCTATTGGATAAAATAATAAATGCGCAAACACACAAATACAATAAGATGCACAACATTAGAATTACATGACATAAATATAAGAGGCATATTCACTGGTCACAATTTCGCATGGAATGACTTGAGTTATTGTGATAGTAAACGTAACGCATTAGTCACATGTTGCCTGAGTTACTAAGTCTGTTGGAAAGCTAGGATGAATTATGTAAATGTGTAATGGTACTATATGCTACAGACCAATTAAATTGTTTATTAACATTAATAGCATAAGGTAAAAAGAAGTAAACAATCTACTCACTTAAAGCAAAATTAATACTCAGTATTTGGTGATTTAACAGTTCACAACTCACATTGACGTTCTTGTATCATGTACTTGAATTACAGATAGTTCCATTCAATGCTACAAATTATTATCTTGAACTGCATATCATACTTTCAATATGTAATCCTTTTAAATGGTAAAACCCAGTACTAAACAATTCAGTGGATAATAGCTAGGAGGAAGATAGTTTAGTCAGGCATTGAATAAAAGCTCTTAATTCTATGTTTTGAGATTTACTTCATGACTTGTCAAAGTTGTCTAAATTTTCTGTATTGCAAACACCAATTTCTGAAAAATAATTATATCTTCAGGTAAGTTTAGATGACCAGATACATGTTTATGGAATCGCTTACTGTTTGAATAAGTTGTTGAAATCTTGCTGTGCTCAAGAATTTGTTGAATATTGGTAGTTGGAAGAAACCCTAGTTGACATAATCTTAATCTGATTATATAAGCACACCACATCTTTGTCTTACTGTGAAGGCTGAACATCACAGGGATCTCATAGCAGGTCGAACCTAGATAATTTTGTTCGAAGTTCACAAATATTTTCCATATCCACTTTTCTGATTTGAGCACACACAAAATAATGATGTATATTGTAGTATTAGTTTAACAGTTTTTACAGTGGTTGATCTCGAGATGTCAAAGTGACACTAGTAGGTGTATAAATTTGTATTTAAAAATGTTTCACCTTGTTGTTTATTCACTGAAGTTTCAGTTGCATGATAGTCACTATATATTGGAGATGACCATCATAAAACCGTGAAGCTATTGCTCGAACACCAAAAGGTTACAATATCATCACCCATACGCACTGGATTTGGTTGATTGATTAGCATTAATTAGATTGTTGATTATTTCACTTAAAGTTCATAAGAAGCCCAAAAACTAATCAACAAAAACAGTTTACTCTATAAACTACTTCACTAAACTGATACATTTATTTATTGGCTCGTTTTACATAAACTGTATAGGGTGTCTATACTATTCAAAGACGACGAGAACTTGTGAAATTTGTCTAATAATATTTTACAATCGGTTTACATGATACTATACAGGTATAATATTTGCTTCAAGAAATTAGAATTATGAGTAACCTATTAGATTGTTGGATAAACTGTTTTTCTCAGCTGGATCATGCAGAACTTCCTCTATCGGGTTGTATAGTAATTATTAAGGAAATCAATAGAATCAACAGTTTTTATGTATTTCAATACAATAATGCATAATCAGTATAAACATTGAGTAACCTAATTATAAAATTGATAATATGTTATTCGATATTCGAAAGATACAATGAATGATAAAGTAAACAATATTATCATTTTGATGTCATTTTAGGTAACTATTAAAAATAATTTATTAGGTCATGCAAAATTAATTCTATACATTATTTTAAATGTAGATCCCAATAAAATCCATTTTGACATCACTCCCTGTTTGGGCATTCATTGTTGTAAATATTGGCATAGATTGGAATTTATATACATTTCTAACTAGCGTACCAACGTATATGCGTGAAGTGTTGCACTTTGATTTTCAACAAGTATGTTTTACCCTTTAGTCATTGAAAAGCGTTTGGTTTAAAATTTAGTAGATTTGTAAAATATTTCTCATTATTTCATTCGTTTGGATTGTTTAAAAAAAATTAACACAACTTTCTTAACAACAGAGTCGTTGACAACGATCATTGCAGCCAATATTGAATACATCAGATGTTTGACTCCAACTTGTTGCATGACTTAAATATGAGTTTACAAATTTCAGTTAAATACGACCAAACTGCTACAATGTTGTGGTTGTGATGACAAGAGTTTCTGCAGTAACTTAATTTATTGACGGTGTACTACACGAGCGGACCTCAGTTGGAGTACAGATAAGAACTGTGGTGCAACAGACAATTGTTTCTTACTGTTATGGAACTCAGTACTGCTCATGCAAAACCCTATCGAGAGATTGAACTCCGGAACTTCTGGTCTCCCTGCGAGCGTTTAACCATTGGACAACTGGAGGGATGAACATTAAAATGAAATATCAGTTCAGTACTGATCAGTTCCCAGTCTTTAATATATACAAATGAATAATAAAACTTACCTGGCTTTGCACAAACCAGTAGCTGAGCGGGTAACACGTCGGCTTTTGAAGTGAAAAGGTACTGAGTTGTAGTCCTGGGATGAGGCTACATCCAGCTAACGAGTCCTAAATCGGGTGGAACGCATGTTCTTGATTCCACTTCAAACTATCCAACTTTACTTAAAAACGTACGAATTAGTGGTTCAGCATGAAAATAAACCGAAATTCAGACAACTCCAATAATAACAGTAAGATTCTAACACTACAAATAACTCATTTTACCGACTTACGTTGAAAACTACTTAAAGATTATTTATTGATTGACTGATAAGCATTACATATGTAAATATTATGTTGTTAGACTTTGAATATTTGCATCTTATAATGAAAATAAAAGCTGATAAATAATGCAGTAAATTGTCTGGGAATTCTTCAAAACGTTATCCATTGGTAACTAAAGCTTCTGTGACTAACGTGCTAATCCTATAAGTCTGTTTTTGTAGTTTGAAAGAAATTTTGATGTGCTACTTGTTTAACCGATATAAGATTATATGCTAAGTCTTATGCCACCATATTTTTATCTACTGTAATTTCACGAATATTCCACACTACACTTCCTATATGAAGACAAATAGCACTGAGAAGTGCTTATTAGGTTATTCTTATTAATGTTATTTCTATACTAAACAAACAGAGACATATAAGAGATAACTTAGAGTTATCATTTAAGATCAACGCAGTGAATGGTGTCACTGAAACTATTTATCCCCACCGTGTTAATCTGACTTTGTGACGCTTGAGGGAACAGATCATCACTTCTTAGACTTATCAGCTACCTATTCCCGATACAGATATTTTTCAACCACTTTCGACAATCTAGTGTATTTATGAATACTTTGAATCCACAACTACCAGTTGTCCAAGACTAATTCACATTTGTGAGGAATATAAGAGTTTGACTTCTGAACTGGAAACGAATAATATGTCAGTATAAAATCGGAATGTGCTTGAAATAACTAAATGTAGACCGATTTCAACGTTTTCGGCGAAGCTCTACAGTTTGTGAGTATCCAAGACAATTTAAGTTGATGAAATTCCCAAACAATAAATCACTGATACTTTAACGCCTCTCTAATTTTTGACGCAACTTTTCAATGTGTAATGCCTAATATACTAGGTAGTTGGAAGTAGTAGACAAGATACCCTGGACCCAGGTTTAGTGTTGTCACTCCCCACCAAGGCATACCCCGACCGTTGTTGCTACCTTGACGTGGTGGTCGGGCTTGTCTATCGTGATGACGCAACTGCGCTATACTGACTGGAACAACCGTTCCTCAAGGTCCTACCACGTCAGAAAGGTCGGTTGAAGAGCGGTAAGACTAAATGCAACAAACCCAAGGTCCGAAGGCGAAGTCGTACTGCTGACTATACAGAGGTGTGGCAGCAGTAAGGTGTTTCCTTCAGACAACCAGCATGACGGCGATGCTGCCTTCCCACAAGGAGGGGTGAAGTTAGAAAAGGTCGACCCCAAAAATGCACACCTCGCCTTATCCCACGGATATCCGTCTCCGGCGGTAAGGTCTCAACAAGTACGGAGTTAACACAAAAATTGCCCACAAAAAGGTCGTGTGTGACCGACCTCAAACAGTTGTCCCTTGGGCACTGCGGTCACACTCCCAGGTCATTAAGACCACTTCTAATCCAATTTCCTTTTCAGGTACCTCCAGAAGAACCCCTCCACGGTGTTGGCAACCGGGGAGTGATAACCGCCCTCATACCTCTAACAGCACTGAAGACCACACTGACTGACCAAGACATACTTGTAATCTTAGAGGAACAGATGTTCCTTGCGGGATAGAAATTTCCGTCTTCCAGCATCACGTTAACATTAACCTACCTGAGCTGTGACTCACGTTCTATTCTACTAAGATATCTACAGTTAGTTAGTCAATGTGTATTCACCCATTTGATGTTTTATGCTGATTTGGCTAGACAAGAACTTAGCAATCAGTATCACGTACGAAGTTACATTGAAAGTTTAAAACTTAGTGCGTCTCCGTTAGCTAACCATAGATGAGGCCATCGAAATCGAACTTTTCCTACCAATTTCATGCATACTAAAATCTTTTGTTTCATCCTGTTTCCCGTGGCCTTCACCCACTATTTGGTCACAACGTTTATGCACTTTTATTATTTAAGTTTATTCTGATTATATTCATTGTCAATCTCATTCTACATATTACTCATATAGACAAATAAGCAGGTAGAATGTATTTGTAAAGTCTCAGCGAATGGATTTAAAGTAATTTTAATGGAGTTCTGTCATTTGAACTGAATGGTTTAGTCGTGGAGTTTTGAGCGTTGTTATGAACGACATCATCAGCAAAAACTTTAGGTAGAAGTGAGATGATGAATAATTACTTGAGGGATTTTATAACAAGGATAATTAAGAACAAAGAACAAAAAGGTAATAAAAAAAGAGATAAACAAAAAGGATGGGCTAACACAGAAGAATCCTAACCCTACAAAATATAAGGGTATTCTTTCGAACAAGCAATACTCTAAGATCAAACTAGTAAAAGTCAAAGACTCAATACACAAAGAGGAACAACAAAACTGTTTATGAAATCAAATGTGGTCACTAAAATGCTACATATGTGGGTGGAACATCAAGACAACTAAATATGAGAGTGAAGGGACACAAACTATGCCAAAAGCATATTCCTAAATCCTCAGATGATGTAAAAAACCACTTGTAAACAAATCAGCAATAGCATTACACTCAATAGAATCGGGTCATACAATTTGTTTCAATGGTACAAGAATCCTTCAAAAAGGTTCTTACAAAGAAGGACTAATAGCCGAAGGCCTACATACATGGGCAAATCCAAATAGTACTAATGCCGGCTCAGTGGTCTAGTGGCTAAGCGCTCGCGCGCGAGACTGGTCGGTACTGGGTTGGAATCCCGCGAGGCGGGGTCGTGGGTGCGCACTGTTGAGGAATCCCACAACAGGGCGAAACGGTCGTCCAGTGCTTCCAGCTTTTCCATGGTGGTCCTAGCTTCAATTGACTCATGATCTAAACTATTGAAATTTCTACAATCTCCACAAAACCCCTTCTAATACATATTTATATTTGATAAATTTGATGTTTGATTATATTTCCTTGAAAAAACTTGGACCAGATTGCCAGGCGAAACGTTGGATCTATTACTTCAAATCCATTCCCTGAGATTTTACAAGTAGTTTCTTTCGTTTCTAATGTCTCACATCAACTCAGCGCCCAAATACTTTGGAACTATTCGATCAAATTTAGACGAATATTCTTATACATTATTCACATAATTTAGTGACACTTTATCTACTTCTTTCTTTTTGTATCCACATCGCCATATTTTTATAACTTGTGACCGTCAATTAAGGAGCAGTGACTTATCGACCGAACCAAGGACGCGTAAACCCGTATGAGCAGCCTAGGGTCCTAATTAGCCCTACTTTCCGCCTAGCCCAGCCAGTTAAGTCCAGAACACCAATCTCACCCTCTGCAATATGAATCATTATATTTCAAACATTACTGAGCTCATATACCAATCAAACAGACCACAACGTGCCAATAAAATATGAAACATTTGTACAAGAATTAGCCAGATGTGGCTGTGAATGAGGGAGGTAGTGATTAATATACTGGGTATAACTCAAGAATGGTAAAACGCATAATAATAGTTTATGGGTCGAAATAAAGCTTATAATAAGAGAAATATGAATATGCATAGTCTAGTTACTTAATAATAATACAATAGAAATATACGTTTAGTGTTGGTCCATAAATGGATCCCAAAAGTTACCATTCATTATTCTTGTCGGGACACAACACATATGTCTTTAACAGATTACGAATATACCTGCATGACATTGCAGTTATGCTCACCAATTATATTTTTATTAACCACAATTTAAATGTTCCGAATTAATATTTGCATACCTACTTGTAAGGCATTTTGAGAAATTACCAAAGAAACGTATTCGTCAAACAGTTTTCACAGCTGTTCCGATTCAGTTTTTTAACCGGTTTGGATCCTTCTTAGTTGTGAAAAAGCACTTGTTGTTTGCTTCGATCTTCACTTGATATTCATCAAGCTACTTTCTCCTCACTTTATAAATCTAACCATTAAATAGTAAACTAGCACACAATAGTGTTTTAGTGGGGCCCGTAATTTTGTCGAAAGGGCTTTCCACTTTAGTGACCCGTGGATCTGACTCCATTTAGATCGTACGAATGTTCATTATCACCTCTCCTCGTATACAATTATCGACTTTAATCACGTTAATCGATAACGGAATTTAGATAAGTCAATTAACAAGAATGGCCTTTGAATACATATATTTTGTATGTAAAGTGAATGAGATAGAACAAAGCGAAATGACGCGCAGGGGAAATGGCTGGGAAGCCAACTCTATTTCTAGCCAGGCGTTACTCAATACTTATAGGCAGACAAAATAAATTACAAACATGTGATGAGACAGGGATATGTAGTGTACACACATATACGCTCATATAACAACAATCAAGACTGACAAGCGAATAATTGACAAGGTCAACATATGACTCAAGTAGAATGAATAGACTGATTTGTCCAAAAACTAGAATAAGATATATTATGGGCTTAAAATAATGACTGACACTACAGTGTCCATGTTCTAACTGCAAGGTTTTGATTTGCTGAACATGACTATCCAAGACTAATCTTGTTAGATTGTAACAACTATTCGTTACACTTACTATCCTTTCATTTCAATTCAATATTGTAATTTGGGGGTGGAAAATTTTTTTTATGGGGTGGGGTTTTTTTTTTAAAAAAATGGCCGGTCGGACAATATCATTCTCAAGGGTCGATAGAAGGAAATCATTTGTTACTTTGCCATATTCCTTCTTTCTTTTCGTGATTATTTAAATTGTACCATCAATATTCAGTATTTTGTAGACCAGGTAACATTTTCAACCCCCCAATATTTCCATTTCGTTGGTCAGCGGTCCTGTCATCCTATATCTATTCAGTTGAGATTTGGTTAGAAATTCCATGAAAATTAATTAGTTTGATCGTTCAACTCATGCATTTTATTAACCAACTATACTGTCATAATACATTTTCGTTCTTAGAGCCATCGTTAACCGTCATAATGATTAATGATCTAATTGTCTTGTAGAATGCTCTGCTGTCTTCCCTACCATACATCGGCATGTGGATAGGACAACTAATATTTGGTTGGATATCCGACATCCTTTTGACTCGGCGAATTCTAACTTTGAGTGTTGTTCGTAAACTGATGAACAGCATAGGTGAGTAGGTCTGATTTTTGTGCTTAAAAGCCATTCACTTGGAGAAAATAAATACATAGTGTTTACGCTTTGTAAAACAACAACAATGACATAATAATTTCTTTGTAAACAATGATATATAATGAGCGAGTCATTAAGATCAGAAAAGTTCTAAATAAGTATTTTCATTATATGTATATGTAGTTTGACTATAAGCTGTTGTTAACTACTATATTTTTTAGGACTAAACATTTTGTTCCTAAATTATTTCATTTTGATTGAAATGACTGACAAGCAGACATTTCACTGGTTTCATCAATTCTTTTAGACTTTTATTTATAGCCTGAGATAAGTTGATAAGGAAATGCTCCAAAATGCCTGGTACGACCAAGGGTGGAGAGAGTCCGCTCTCAAACGACCACGCGTATACAGCTACTGATAGGGATGTTCTGCTCACTGCCTTCTCGTGATGAGGGTGTTGTTTACGGAACTGAGAGGATTTACCGTATTGAATTAGTCAACTGTCCTCCATTAAACTAAACGGTAATATTTAACAACTTAATCTTAAAGTACTACATTTGTGACAATAATCTCATCAAATTTAACAATGTGCTGGTTTTAAGTTAACCACTAGAAGCTAGATTTATTTGGTCCGTACTACAGAAATAATCTGACTAAATAGAATTGTCAACAATAAGATCTAGTACCTAGGTAACCAGGTAGCGACTGTTTCACGGGTTAAACTCGGATCAAAATGAACAAATATGTTTAAGTAAAGTAAATAAAATATAACATCAAATTAAATAAATACACGGAGGGAAATTTATGAAATCTAACTTCCTATCATCTTTTTTGTACATGATTACATAAAAGTAACATCTGGGTTTGACCTTTTGATTACAGGGGATTCTAGAAAATCCATCCCTTAGTAGAAATGACACAGGATACAATGCCTCAATCCTATGAAGTACTGTCTTCGTGATCAATCTCGTGATCAATCGTGTCATTCTTTCTTTTCGATAGGATGCTGATGCTTTTATCTGGAACAGCAATAATTCCAAGGCAATGTAAACCGATCAATACATTGACGCGTATGCACAATTAACCACAGAGTTTAAGATTAACAATGTTACTTCATACTTATTCAAGTACTAAAGTCTTTTCTATACTTAACGGAATATACGTATTGAGATGTAAAAATAAAAATGTTTGGCCCAGCAAAGAGTTCTCTTTTCGACGAATTCATTATCAATGCTGCAAAGTCTATACATATTTTTCAAAACGATAATAGTGACAATAAGATTCCGCTAAATATGGCAACAGTGAGATAGAATAAACAGTGTCATAAAATCATTATTTTTATTAAAACTAATAATAATAATTGTGTTGTTGAGAAACTGAATAATCATTATGAAGATAGATTAGGAAATTACAATTTGGAAAGAAAGGCTCAGTACGTTAGGATAAAATGCTGAAATTCAGATGGACCGTAATCAGAAGGATCATGGGAACAGAAACAAATCACTTGGGAGGGGGGTAGAAGGTCTATAAAGAAGACAGAAGGGAAGCAGATGGCCGTGAAGAAAGAAAAGAATGAAGAAGAAACTACGAGATTAAGGCCATGGTAGAAGTAGAAGTTGTAACAGTTTCTTTTGGATGCATAATTCCAGATGTAAAGCAGTGCTTCGGCAATGCTAAGAAGATGGAATATAACTGCTTTTGGCAGCTCTCTACTTATCTTATAGATGATTTTGAATACAGAATCTCCTTTGATTGAATGATCTGTGTTAATAAGGTTTTCGATTATTGAACTTCTTATTGACCCATTTCCACCTCTTTTCAGCCAAACCGGGTAATGTTCTTGAATTATTTTAGATAAAATACGCATCGAATGACCTATATGCATGGCTCTACATGAACATGTAAATTGATAAACGCACATAGAATCAGTCTAATGAAATAATTAATCTTTAGATTTATTGTTGAACATTGATTGGTTGGAAAATACTATTCTCAAAGTTGCTACAAAAAACGTCTTATTGAGAGAGTTGAAATTCTCCTCTTCAAGATATCTGTAACTATATCGCCTTTGAAATAGATAATTATTTGCTATAACTACGGCGCACTAATACCTCTCCACTAGTCACTAAACCTCTGTTTCGGAAGATGTTTTGCAAATAAAAGATGTCACAGCTCCCATAACGATGACACTGCTTCTGAAATTCACCAGTTACTACGAACAAAACAGAATCATGGTGAATTTTACGAACTAATCTAGTCTTCAAACATTTTGATAATACATAGTACTCCCTATTGAGTCTATGATCATCTGTTAGTAGAATTGTGTTTACCAACCTTTGTTAAGAACTTCTGCTACAAATGACCAAACATCAAGAAACAGTCTATTAAAGAAAAAGATATTCAGATTTACTAGTATAGGGGTTGTGGAGATTATTAAGTTTTTGATTGAGATCATGAACCGATTGATGTTAGACCATCACAATTGAAAACCTGGAAGCACTGGACGGCCGTCCCACAATAGGACGAAACGGCCGTCCAGTGCTTCCAGGTTTTCAATTGTGATGGTCTAACATCAATCGGTTCATGATCTCAATATTCAGATTTGTTTGAAGAGATTATGAGTTCACCTAATCTGAGAGCGGAATGAAGACTCTGTGACACAATGACAGATAAACTAGTTGTTTCAACACATCCCAGCCCAGCTAACTAGAAAGAGAAGTTCAAGTTCGAAAGAGGGGAATATATTCCACAAGCAGCCATAAGCACGAACAACCACAACAAGTTTAGTCGGAAATACACTCATTTATGTATTGACTGTACACCCATTTTTTGATTAATAAATAGGATGAAATCACATATATGAAAAACACTTAAAGTTATAACAAATTACATGCCCAGTATAGTTCATGTTAACTTAATATAAGAATATGGTGTTACATAGAATAAAATGTCATAGGAGAAAACAGAAACAAATACTATACTAAGTAATGATTACATTGTATTAAAATGGAATTAATATTGAACAAAAATTACAATGAGTAAATCATTCTAATTTTGATTATCCCCTTATATCAGTTTCTTAGTTCAAAATATAGAAAGGTTTATTAGTAATTTGTATCTTTACGATAAGTCATTTACCTTCTGCGTCCGTGAAAGTAACTCTCCTAACCACTTTACTGTCCCACTTCTCATACATAGAAGGAGTACAATTTAGTGTGAACAGTTGCTCTTCTCTTACACTCCACATTTCAAATTTTTACTCTAAATATAATTTAAAGAAGAAATCTAGTTACGGATCAGGCCTCATGGCTCACATTGTTTCTGTAGGTAAGGAAAACTCATAACCTGAATTTTTGAGTAACTGAAATTTTTATTCTGCTCATATTGACATATTGCATCCATTCATTATCAAATAATCTTTGCCAATACAAATTTGTTACAATTCCTTCTTAAACGCTTAGATTACTAGCCTTAACACTTATCTCTAATATAAAGATCATTTTATCATAGTTTCTACAGATCCCCCTCCTCAACACATATATAAGGAAAGTACAAAATGTGTATGTTTCTTTTTTAAATCTTCCTTCCATAGGTATGTTTGGACCGGCTCTCCTTATGATACTGATCACATTGTTTGACTATCATAATAAATATGCAGTTGTTATTCTACTAACATTTGGACTGTTCCTTAGTTCTGGTGTTTTCTCTGGTGGAATGCTTAGTCCAATCGAAATCACACCAAAATATTCTGGTTTACTGTTTTCTGCTTCTAATTCACTTGGCGCATTGACAGGATTTTTGAGTCCAGTCGTAGCAAATGCTTTGACACCAGATGTAAGTTAGACATAATTTCTTTCGGTTACTTTTAATTCAGGCTGAACAATGGTTATTCTTTGGTATTTGAAAGTATCCTGCGGAATTCCGCAAATCAATTAATTTGTATTATCGCTATTGAATTTGACAAAAATCCAACTGAGGATCAATAAGGCCTATCATCCTTGTTATTATTCAGACTTTTTAAGTAACCAATTAACTAATAATAAGTTTCTTACATTGCCCTCAACAAAAGTTAAAAAAACAGAACCTATAAAGTTTCAAATTTAATGATTGATAATAGTTATCAAGAAATCTACACAGATTTCTTTCGAATGGGACTACTCTTCTGAACGTGAGAAATAGTTAAATTTTGTGTAACGGGAATATTCAAATTAGATTGTAGTACTCAACCTGCGTTCTTGAACACTTATCTTGGGAGTCTCATAAGTCTTTGTGGCCTGGTGTGTGACGAAATCTCACCACGGATACAGAAGGCCCGACTAGCTTTTGCCAACTTGCGTCATTTATAGCGTAGGCGAGATATCCATCTACCAATCAAAGGACGTGTTTACTGCGCAGCAGTTCGTTCCATCCTACTTTATGGCAGTAAAACATGGCCAGTAAGAGTAGAGGATATCCGTAGGTTACTAGTATTTGATCATAGGTGTCTTCGAAGCATTGCTCGTATACCCTGGGACCATCGAGTAAGTAATGCAGTTGTTAGGAAACGGGTACTAGGTAAGCATGGCAAATCAATTGATGAAGTACTGAAACTTCGTCAGTTGAGATGGCTGGAACATGTGTTACGTATGCCCAACCACCGACTGCCCCAACGCAGTAGGAGGAGGTTAGAAGAAAGCTATGAACGGCGAGATCAAAACACGGCACAAATCCATGAAGTCACTGACAGGTGGACTGAGTGGCGTAGGTGCATCCACTCTTTGTGTTCTCCCAAATTCTAATCTTCTGAATTCTTCGTGTCCCTTTTTTTCGCTTTCCAAATTTATTTCACTGGGTTATACTCCTTGAATAGCATCTTCAAACCCTAATGTTTCCGATTGTTGCTTATACTTTTACTACCTCTGTCACTAAGGGATTTGAATCGACAATTGTATCTCTGTGCTAATGTGGTATGGCAACTCGAACTGATGTACGTATGTACGAAGTTCTACGTTATTGACTGACTGACTATTGAACATGAAATTTCCTTTTCTTCGTACTGAATCCCTCAAATTAATCTAATTTGCAATAGAATAACTCAAAATTATCTTCATTTTATTTTATTTTAACACAGATATTGGTATCAAAAGTGATTTTGTGGAGATTGTAGTATTTTCAACAGTTGAGATCATGAGTCAATTGAAGCTAGACCACCATGGAAATCCTGGAAGCACTGGACGGCCGCTTCGTCCTATTGTGAGACGCCACAGCACCAAATACATATGCGCCACACAGATCTCATTTGATATGTGTGAATGCTGTGATACTGCCCGGGTTCCCAAACCGAGGCAAGTGGTTTTCTTAGGGGATCACACCCGAAGCCTTCGACATGAAGGTCTGATCCACCATGCAGTGGAGCATTGTAAGGAGATACAGTCCCATGGTAGCCGGTGACCAACGATTGGTTCATACGCCATTTGTTTCCTCAGCATACTGGAGCCCATGTGCATCATGGGTTTGGAATGAGGGTTTTCTAACTCCCCTAGGTGGACTCTCCATGTCTACCGACCCGGTTAAAGCGCCGGACATTCGCTTTTCGTCCTCTCAATTTCGTAAACAACACCCCGGCCACGAGAAGGCAATGAGTAGGACTTCCCAGGTAAAGGCTTTATACTCGTGGGCATGTGAGAGCATTTCGAGAGAGATAGAGTGGTCTCTCCCCACTCTCCGCAATACCGGGGCATTACGGGCATAATTATGTTACACTGTTACAAGTGTTCTGATAGTTGAATGCAATAGACTACAAATCTCTGTAGGTGAACATTTTGTGCTTAGATAATACCTATGATCACAGTGCTTCATGTTAGCGAATAAACAAAGATTTTGTTTTCAGAACAAATAATTACTAACAATTTCTTTCTATTTGAATAATGTCCATACAAGTTTAAAATATTTGTGTTATTGTCTTTTTTTTTCTTTTACAAGAAAACTTATGAGCAATGGCGTTATGTGTTTTATGTAGGTTCTGTAATATTTCTTATTGCTGGATTCTTCTTTCTCATATTTTCATCATCTAATATACAATCATGGGCTATAGAAGTTATCGATTATGATGATGATGATGTTGTTGCTGATAATCATCATTCACTTACCGATAAAAGTTTCTCTCCTACAATTTGTCAAATTAACAAAGAGAATATAGAAAATGAACATAAAGAATTTGACCAAATCCATTCTAATGTAGTATCAATAACTTGATATGAAATTTCCTGCTTAATTGTTTGTTTTTTTCTTCTTCTCACTATTATTTGTATTACTACTGATTGTAATTTTTGCTTTTTATAAAACTAGTTATTTGATACAATTTGAAGATGAAATCGTTGTATTTGGCAGTAACAATTCAATCAATATATACCTATGTACCTTAACTAAATGTCTTTACTTTATGGTATAGTTAGTTGTTTTTCCTTTTATATTTCACATAATGGATTACAATATAACTCGTGAACAATCAATTACTGTAATATTGTACACATAGAATTTCAAGTGGTTAGAATAGGATTTCACTTCTTATCTGAACTAATTATCCGGTTGTCCCTTTGATGTGTTCTCAATCGTGAACAAAATAAGTGAATATGATTATACTTGAATCACTTTAATTTGGCTATTGATTAATGGGTGACTTTCAGCTAAGCATGTTACTGAATAGCTTATGAAACACAACTTTTACATTGAAATTATGGATTCCTAGTGAAAATTCTAGTTTCAAAGGGAACCCACAGTGAGGAATTAACAACTCAATTTCACCTAGTTGCATCATTCTCACTACACACTGATGAACTTCCAAAGGCTTGTCTTAATATTCTATTTATATTGCGATTTTAGTGAAGTTGAGCGAAAAACCTTGTTAAGATATAATCACAGTGGATTGTTGTAGATTAAGATAAATGTAGACAATTCAGTTGGAGATAAGAAACAACTAGCTGTATGGCAAGGTTTATGCATATAAAATTCGATCTATTTTAGTTACTATTTAGATCTGTATATACTCAAGCGCACCAGTTGGGTAACATAACTTTAGTTATTGGCCTATATCATGATTTTCAGATGTAACCAGTGGACCTGAAAATAGACTGAATATGAGTCAAGTGTAAAATTAACTAAATTCTGCTTTACAATTAAGTACAAAATCGATACGAAATAGATGGGTGGTGAGCCAATTTGACAATACAGTAATAAATTAGTAATGAAGTTTGGTAAATTAAAACTAAGGTGAAATTTCATATTTCAACAGTGTCGTTATGGCATCACCATTGAGCCTAATCCTAGCTGATTTCTTTTTGACGAATTGGAAAACGCTTTTGAGAAAAATGTGATAAGCCAACTAAAATTTTGTTGCATTTATATGGATGATACGTTTATAGTTACGAAAAACAATAACGAAGCTCAGAATTTACTAGAAACATTTAACAGAATCCACCAGGCAGTCACTTCCACAAGGGAAGAAAACTGCAGTGTTTTCTTTCTAGACGTTCTAGTGACCGAAAGAACTGACGGGTCGTAAAAATGAAATGTTTCACGTAAACCGACTTCTCAAAGCCAATATACAGATATTTGGAGTCTTGTCCCATTACAATATAAGAGAAGCTTAGTCAAATGATAGGCCCATAAAGCTAGAACGTTTTGCTCTGATTACAGACTTGAATAGGAACTAAGAAGTGTTCATGATTTACTACGTTCCTAGCGTAATATACGTCTGCAACTAAACCGAAATTGAAATCACCGAAGGTACCAAAAATGTCTATATCCCTGAAATAACAGTTAAAAAGTGACATAGTTATTCGATGTTTATGAATAACTTTAAAATGTGTATTCAATCCAGCAAGATTACCTCTTGCTTTTTTCAGCCAGCCAATAGCGAACTCATAAAATAAGGAAAAATTGCCCAGTTCCTCTGCCTGTGTGTATTTACTTTTTCAACTACTCTAACGGAGCTAGTTATATTTAGTGAACAACTAGCCAAATACATTCTCGTATTTGTGAACATCACCACTCATGGTTGACCACAAGACAAAAGAAATTAAGAAGTTGTATGTTGACTAATTTACTTGATACTGGTCATAATTTCGATAAAAATTCAACTGCTTACAACCAGGAAAAAGAGAAAGGGTGAGAGTAAGCAACTTTGTCCAAGACAGGTCTGTACCTCGAACGAGTTTGTCACTTGCCCTCCATTCACAATTTTGCAGTTTAACCCATCATAAGAATTCCGTATGATATTGACTATCTTCTCAGGCACGCCATAGTGTCGAAGAAGCCTCCAGTGTTGTCCTGTCCACACTATCAAGTGCTTCCTCGTAATCAATGAAGTTGATGTAGAGTGATGAATTCCATTCAGTTGATTGTTCCACAACGATCCGTAGTGTTGCGATTTGGTCTGTACTCGATCGATCCTTGCGGAATCCAGCCTGTTGGTCTCGAAGTTAAGCATCCATGGAGTCTTTCATTCTGTTTAACAATACCCTGTTGAAGAGTTTTCTTGGTATTGAGACAAGAGTGATTCCCCTGTAGTAATCACACTTACTGTGACCGTCTTTCTTTGGTATTTTGATCAGAAGTCCTTTCCAGTCTGTCGGTACTTGTTCTTTATCCCAAATCTTGCTGAAGAGAATGTGGAGTATCTTTGCAGTTACTGCTATATCTACTTTCAGTGCCTCTGCTGGAATGTTTTCTGGTCCTACTGCTTTGCCGCTCTTGATTTGTCTGAAGGCCAACATCGATTAAGAGGTCCGTGGGCGCTACTTTGATGCTGGGTGGGTTTAATGGAGCTGGTCGATTCGAGAGTTCTTTGGAGTGTTCTACCCACCTCTTTCGTTGTTCTTCGATGTTGGCGTTTACTTTACCCTCCTTGCTTTTCACTGGTCGTTCTGGGACCGGCAGTAGCCCCAGAGAGGCTCCAGGCGGAGTTCTAGAAATGCATTAATCAATATAACTACGTAACAAATGTAGGTGTTAAATGCCGTATATCTAACAGTGAGAAATATAAACAAATGATGACAAAGTTGTCAGTTGAAGTTATTAAGATACAAGCTAGTTTCTAATTTTTAATGGGATATTATTAGGATGTGAGGACAGTTCACGGGTGAACTCAAGGAAGCCCTGAGAAGCTCAAAAAGAGCAGAAGATATTCCATCCAGGATCCCCACATGGAGCTTTTCTATCGGTCAAATGCTAATAACCCCCTGTTTTCGGATTTGAGAACTATAATTAGGATTTCGTCTTTACTAAAAACTATAAATACCTGACAGTTTCGTACCATAGTTGACACTGGAATAGCATTCCTTTCACTTGTCTTCTGTCTTTTCATTTACGACTTGGGAGTGTTCAAGCGTTTGAGTGCTAAAGTTATACGCGGTATATTAAGAATCTAAGCTTCTAGATATAACATAAATGATAAGTTATTTTGTGAATTATATGACCACACATGTTGATACACATTTGACTGAAAACCAAAAACAGTATGAACAGTTCACAAGAGTGAGAGAGTCATCTGTCTAGATTTTAAAGTAAGAATACAATTAAAATTTATAGGTAACTGAATTGGGTACAATTTAAAAACATGAACCTATAGATAGCTTGAAATTACATCAACATCCATATAATATTAAAAATATACCAACTCCTAAGCTTCAATCAATAGTATACATCCGGAAAACTTTTAATTTTTTAAATTTCCATCATACTATGAATGCGAAACAACCAATCGTAATTATCCAGAAGATAAACAAACATTATCTTCTCCGTTATTATTCATTAACAAAAATAATCATATTATCATCATCATCATTATGTTAATCTAATTTGTTTTTGAAATGTACACAATGAAAGGTCAAATAATGCGAATTAATGATCTTATTGATTAAGATCATGTACCGATTGATGTTAGACCATTATTGAAAACCTGAAAGCACTAGACCGTCGTTTCGTTCTATTGTAGGACTCCTCAGCAGTACGCATCCATGATCCTGCCACGCGAGATTCGAATATAGGTCCTATCAGTCTCGCGCGAGAACCTACTAGACTACTGAGCCGGCATCCAACGGTGTTAATATCTAACCTGGATTCGAATCCCGCGAGCGAGATGGTGGATACACACTGCTGAGGACGAAAGGGTCGTCTAGTGCTTCCAGGTTTTCAGTGGTGGTTTGACACCAATCAGTTCATGATCGCAATCAATAATGATACTTCAGTTATGTTATAAAAATTTTAACTTGAAACTTTAATTTGCTATTTGTTTTCTTGTTCGTAACTAAACATGTACATGTACAGATAAATATATCCTTGAACTTCTCAAACATTCCATTGTTAATCAATAAAAGTAAATGTACCAATGTGATTTTCACTGGATGGATGATAAATAAACAAACCGAACTATTTGATGCTTATGTCTATTGATTCACCCTTAGGTTGTTGTTTTGGAATGTTTAGAGTTTTAGTTTGTTCGTCTATTTGTTAGTTAGTAAACGTAAACATTACTACTCAATAATAATTGATAAATAAAAAGTAATTTATTGATATATATAGATTAAAGAACGTAATTTACTATAATGTATATACATATACTAAACAACGAAGCGTCAGTCAACTTTAACGTAGGACCAGGCACATTTTCACGTCGGTCCAAGTTGCCACACTTCATTAGCATAGCAAGATGAACACCAAATTCATAGAAGTAGTTAATTCAATGGTCGTAATAAATAAAACAAAGATCACATATAAGGATATAGTACAGGGAGTTAAGGTCTCAACAAGTACGGAGCTAACATGAAAATTACTCAAAGAAAGGTCGTGTGTGACCGGCCTCAAGCTGTTGTCTCTTAGTCAATGCGGACACGCTCTCAGGCCTCAGGGGAGTTGGAAAACCCTGATTCAAAACCAATGGTGCACATGGGCTCCAGGATCCTGTAGGGACAAATGGCGTATGAACCAAATGGTTACTAGCTACCGTGGGACTGTATCTCCTGACGTTGCTCCACTGCCTTGTGGATTAGACCTTTATTTAAATGTCTCGGGGTGTGTCCCTCTAAGGAAACTACCTACTTCGGATTGGGTGTCCAGGCAGTATTCCAGCCCTCTCACAGATCAAATGATTTGTGTGGCGCACATATACTTGGTGCCTCCTTGTACCAATATCTACGTTTTTAAATAAATAGTGTAAACACGCGGAACAGGTTTTCGACTTATATCAGCGTCAATCT